AAAAAAAAAAAAAAAAAGACAAGCACACCCAATAGCCTTTGCTCTTAAAGACTTTCTTGGAGAAATATCCTCCTATCGTAGCCTTGGAAGAAACCACTGCAAAACCCCAGCCTTGTGTTGCGCTTTCACACCTGGAGACGTATGTGGAGGGAATATCCCTCAGTCTCTGCCTTGGGGACCAACATAGAATTGAGTCGAGGGCCTGAGCCCACAAGCCGGAGAGCCCCAGTTCGGCCAGAGAAGGCTATGGAAGCAAGACGAAGAGGATGGGGGCTGGGGGCAGACACCTGAGCCGAGTCCTGGTGCCATCTCCTGTTTGCTCTCGTGCATCTTTAGCCCGTGTGATCCTCCACCAAAGCACCGTTTTAATATGCCCATCAGCACGGGTCCCGGGGAGCCCCTCTGTGGGCAGGAGCCACCTTGGTGCTTTTCCTTGAGCTGGGCGCTCTGCCTGGAGGAGAGGGTGCAGCATGTCCGGGTCCTTGTAGACCGTTCATCTGGGAACGCCTGTTTCTGAAGAGCACCCAAGGTCATTTTTGCCCGAGGAGGGGAACCAGCTGGGAGGTCGGCGCAGAACAAGGGCAGTGTGCTCTCGTGGCTGTGACTGGAGGTGTGCTTGTGTGCACGTGTGTGCTCTCATGAGGATTTCACACTCGTCAAGGGGGTGGAGGAGTGTCGGGCACTTGACACAGTCAGTCCTCGTGGGAGCTTTGTGGAATTCATCCGCTCAGCACCCCTGTATCGAGCTCCTCCTATGGCACATCTCGAGTTCTGGGGCGGGGGCAGCACAGTCCGGTACAAGCATAACGTGAGCCTCACGTAATTTCACGTCTCGGAGTAGCCATATCAGAGTAAAAAGAAACAGGTGAGACCAACTTTCGCATTTTTTAACTCCATGTATCCGCGATGTAGTCAGTATAAACATTTCAGATATTGGGCATTTTTTCGTGCTGTCTTTGAAATCCTCTGTCCAGTTTCCACCTACAGCACATCTCAGCTTGGACTAGGCCCATTTCGAGCACTCATAGCCACGTATGTGTCCCTTGTGGGACAGCACAGATATGACGCCTTCAATGGTCATAAGACAGGGTGGTCCGGGCTATGATGGAGGCCTGCAGGGGCGGTGGGGACATCGAGGTATATTCATTCTGCCCTGTGGCTTAAGCAGATTTCTTTCTCGTGGAAATGGCTGGTGCGGGCACGCGGGCCGCTGCCTGGCCGGGCAGCACTACAGGGCGGCCTGTGGATGTGGAAAGGGGTTTCGGGGCGAGGGGCCACACCTAGTCCTCAAATCTAGGCCCAGAAGCAGCCCGGGTCACTTCTCTGCATTTAGTTGCACAAGCACACCAGGAGGTAAAGGGATTTGGACACGTCTGGCTGGGCAGCCGTTAGCCCAGAAAGAGGGAGAACAGATTTAGGGGGAAAACCAGTCTGACCCGTGGGGTTTAGAGAGGCCTCTGTTGAGGTGATGTGTTTGGGTACTGAGGCAGATGGCCATGGTGGCCCCATGAGGCCCCCGCAGCCCCCAAGAGAGATGGGCTTTGCACCCACGGCAGCACCCGCTAACCTGTGGGAGGACTCACTGTGGTTTTGTCTCTGCAGCCAGAGCACAGCATCGATTTCGTCAGCAGGGACCTGCTTGTGCATTTCATCAGGAAGCTGCAGGCCCACGTCCTGCTCATCAAGTAAGTTGGAGCCATGTGCCCGAGAGGCTCGACTGTCAGGAATCTCCGCGGCTCTAGGGGGAGGTTCCTAGTTCTACCAGCGAGACCTGGCCGTCATTTTTCATGGGTGGCTGCTCCCACTGCCCCAAGCAGTGGAAGGCAAAGCAAGGGGAGGGCTCGGGCAGCGGGTGGGGCGGATTCGAAGGCACCTCTCAGCAGGGGTCTGCGAGGCAGGGGCCAGCGGGCCTGACAGTGGGACGCTCGCTCTACCAAATTCTCCAGCCACACCAGACCCCTTACGGCCCCAGATCCGGGCTGCTCACCTGCCTTCCTCCCCACTGCCGGCGCCCGGCCGGAAGCAGTCCCGCAGTGAACATCCTTCCGTGTGGCTTGGATGCCGCTTTCCGCTCTGCTGCGGCCAGCCTAGACTGTGGCACGCCTGAGGCAGGAACCCCGACTTCTGGGGACACACGTGTCTCTGGTGCTGAGCACGGGGGTTTAGGAGGCAAATCCACACCACAGGGAAATACGCCGCACGTCCTCACTAGGACGGCCAGACTAAAGATAACCGGTGTCGGCAAGGATGTGAGACACCAGGACCCTCGTGCTGGGGGGCTATAACACGGAGCAGCCACTTGGAAAGCAGTCTGGCAATTTCTCAAGCCAGTGTTACCACAGGACCCGGCAACTGCACTCCCTGGGCATCTGTGTGCCCCACACAGGACCACACGACAGCTCGCACGTGATGGCTCGGAGCAGTGTTGTTCACAATGGCCCAGAGGTAGAGACGTCTGTCAGCCGGCGAGCAGATGAGCCAAGTACGGTACCTCCATACAGTGGGCTATGTTTTAGCCACAAAGGGGAACGAACTTGTACGGGCCACACGGGCGAGCCTTGGGAACATTATGTAAAGTGGAAGCCAGCCACACGAACCCACGTACCCACGTAGGATTTGCTTCACATGCAAGTCCAGAGAGGAAAGTCTAGAGAGGGTTGATCAGTGGTTGCAGAAGACGGACTGGGCACTGTGTGTGTGTGTGTGTGTGTGTGTGTGAGAGAGAGAGAGAGAGAGAGAGAACTACGGGTTTGGGATGTTTGAGACAATAACATCCTAAAACTGACCGTAGTGATGGTTGTACAACTCAAATATACTAACAAACATGCAATGGTACATTACATGTTAAATGGGTGAAGTTCTCTCAGTAAAGATGTCGGGAGAGAAAGCATCGACTTAAGAGACTGTCATCACCTTCTGGCCCTGCCATTCAGAGGCTGTGGCCACAGGCAGGTCCTGCAACCCGATGGAGTTGAACCCACAGCACTTGGCTCACGTTGGCCAGTGAGCCCCGAGTGCCCGCAGGTGCCCAGGGCCTCGACCCTGATTTACACCTGGGCTCTGAGGGAAACTCGGAGGCAAGCCTGGGCCTGTCTCCTCTCAGCCTGGAACCCAGGGCAGGGGCGAGGCACCGCAAGGTGGCCCTAAGGTGAGCCCTGATTTTTCTTTGGCTTTCCAGAGCAATGCAAGGGTTTTATAACGTGAGAAGAGAGAACGACGCTGACAAGGAGGCCCTAAATTTGGTGAAGGACATACTGAAATCTGTCCTAAAGGAGGTAGGTGTGCGGGGCTCAGCCAGGCTGGGGGTCAGCAGGGTCCTCACCCAGGCTCTGGTCTGGCCCCAGGTCTAATGGGTGGACTGCCAGGAACTACCAGGCCTCACTCCCCACTGTGGCCAGTCCCTGGAGCCACATGTGACTCGGCACAGGAAACACATTTAATTGGCAGAATCTCCCAGTTTTATTGTCCTCACATATCCTGTAGGCCAAGCCCAACTGGGCCAGAGGCCATCCCACAATTTCTAGGGTGAGCAGGTGACCAGTTACATCAGTGGGTGATGGCTGCAGGTGAGGGTGGGTCTCCCAGTTGGGGAGCTGAGACTCATGCTTTGTCCCTGGGAGCACCTGGCACTTTCCGACCATCACCCACCATAAACACCTGACCCTGGGGGCCTCTGCTAACATCTCGGCATCGGCACCGGAGTGGCCGGCTGGATGGTCAGCGGGCAGTGCCTTCCTGCCTCCCAAAGAGGATCAAGTTTGAAAGGCTGCTCATTTTTCAAGCCAACCTTAAAGTGGCAGAATGAACAGCACCCCGGGTCCCTCCCCAGCCTCGCTCTACAACCTCACCGCTCAGAACGGTCCAGAAGCCCAGGGTTTGGACACTTACCCCCCCAAACAGGCCTTTCTTGCTGGCTCTGAGCCAGGCCCTGACTTAACCAGAGGGTGCCCCTGGAGCTGCAGGTCAGTCACTGCCCCGAGGGCCACTGTGAGGGACCCTCCTGAGACACAGGGAGGCAGCAGGCCCTGGGAAGAGGGGCCCACGGAGCCCCCGCATCCAGGCCTCACCTCACCACGCATCCCTCCCTCTCCAGTGGTTCCAGTACACAGAAGTCCCGGGCAATCACTACGTCCACATGAACCAACCCCAGCGTGTGGCCGGGATCATCGGCTCCTTTTTGAAGAGCGGTACCCTGAACCAGCTGTAGCCTGGGCCTGGGGCTTTGCCCCGCTCCCCCCACTCACCCCCCAGACTCCCCGCTCCCAATCCCCACAGCCAGGCCAGGTGCGGTGGGGACAGGCCTCACGGGTCTTGGAGACCAGCAGGGGCTGAGGCAGAGAAACCTGGGGCAGGGTTTGGAGGGATGGGGCCAAGATTCTGACTTTTGGTATCTGAGACTTCAAGGAGGAGACACTGTTTGGACCTGGAGGGTTGTCCGTTTTGTGGCTGATAATCGGCAGTGAGTGGGTAGCGGATGGAGGAAGGAAGGGCCAGGTTACTGCCCAGCTGGATGAAAAATAAAATGTTCTGTATTCGCACTGTTTCCGAGGCCGTTTCGCTGCCAGCGGGGGCCCTTCCAATGGGGGAAGGGGAGAACACAGCAGACACTTAGCCTGAGAGGAGAGTCCAGGAACAGGCCGGGAACAGAGATGAGAAGGGAGCAAGCGCTCCCCAGGCTGGTGGCGTCCTGACAAGCCCTCACACCGGGCAGGCCCCGCCAGCATGGGGTCCCGAGACTGCAGAAGCACCAGGGCCCAGGGAGGAGCTGTCGTTCACCCCATCCGTGGGGACTCCGGCCTCGGGGGCTGGCTGACACGGTAGCCCCTCGGCCTGGGCAGCCTGGGACGAGCTGTTCCAGACCTCTGCGTCCTCACCAACCGCACACCGTCACCATTCACCGTTCTGCTCCGTGGGGCCCGTGGGCCAACTCAGCTCAGTAGGGTCGGAATTTGCGCTGGGCCCGCATCAGTTCAATCCTCTGCTTGTCCTCCTCAAACTTCTTGCGCAGCTGGGCTAGATCTAGGGCGGGAAGCACAAGGGGAAATGGGGCCCTATCGGTCAGTGTGGCCCGTGGGGGGGTGGGGGTGGGGCTGTGCCGCGTGGCCCCCAAGCCTGCTGGCCTCTGCTCTGAGAAACGGTTGGGACCTTGCATGGAGACTGACTAGCATGCAGGCCTAGTCAGAGGGTGGAAGCTGAAGACAGGGCAGCACACCTGAGGTTTCAGAGGAACCTCCTCAGTAAAAGAAAAAGCACGGAGAAAGCAAGGCACCTGCTCCCTTCCCGCCCCTACCCCACAGACCCAAGGTGAAGGAAGGTGGCTTTGGGGGTGTCAGGAGCCCCCGGGGCACCTCTCCCAAACACTCCCCGCTGCAGCACTCAGACTGGGGACAAGATCGGGAAGTAAAGGGACTCCGCCCTGAGAGTGCCACGGAACCCAGATGGCAGGTCTGTCACCAGGTGAGCAGCCGAGGAGCCCAGAGGGAGGGCTGGCAGAGGCCCGCCGTCAGTGAATCTAGACAAAAGGGCAGGAGCGGGGGTGCAGGACACAGTGGGGAGCAGCAGTGAGGCCGGGGAGGGCACGGTGTGCCGGGTGGCAGGTTACCACCTGCTGCAGAGCTCGTCCCCCTGCCGAGGCCGGGGCCAGGGCCAGGGCCAGCACCCTCTCCCCCAGGCCCCCGGGCAGCTGCCCCGCAAGCAGGGGAATCGGGGGCCGTGGCAGCAAGCTCAGCATCATCATGGCCATGAGTCAACCACAGGCGATCGCTCACCCCAACACTCTCCTTGTGGGCACCCCCCCCCGCCCACGCATGGCGCCCACACACACTCTTTCTCTCTCTCTCACTCACACAC